ATTGCTAAAAAATGCTAACCATTTCCTCATGTAATGTAAATTAATGATACCAAAATAAAAATGCTAACCATCATCTGAACTTTCAGTGAGTTGTAATCACTGATCCCACATCACCCTAACAAATACAATAACAACAAAGTTTGAAATATATCAAGAATTACCAAAATGTGACAGAGGGACACTGAGTAACTGCTGCTGGGAAAATGGTGCCAACGACTTGGTTGGCCCATGGTTGCCTCAAAACTTCATTTTACAAAAGCATGTCTGTGAGGTGAGGTGGGCCTGTGTGGCTTCCTTTTTGTTTCCCTTCTGCTCATTAGGTAGCCCAGGCTGGTCTGTCTGCGTGGTGGTGCTGTTGGCCCTGTTCAGTTGGTGTCAGTTCTGTGTGACACGGCATGTCTGTCCTCAGGGGTCCTGCAGCCTCCCGGGCCGTGGGGGGCCGTTAGCTGGCCGGCCGAGGTGCAAGGAGGTCCCGGGGGACCTGGTGGGCTTTGGCGCATGGGCCCTGCTTCCCGGGGCGGCCGCTGCTCGCGGCTTCCCCCATGAGCTTTCCCCTTCCGTTCTCTGCTCTCCTGTCGCCTCTTGTCTCACACCCGACTTCTGTGTGAAACGGCTCATCTTTTAAAGGCATTGTCTCAGTCAATTCTTTTTTTCCGTGTGGGGATATGGCCATGGTAACAAGTGGAGTGACAGAGTGACTCTTTGAGCTCAGATAACCACCAGGCCTTCGAGCTGCTCTGGGGTGCCGCCCACAGAAGGGGTTTGCCAGTCTCCCCACCCCCACTGTGTGGCTCATGTGTTACCAGACCCAGAGCCGTCTGGACAAGTGGTGTCCAGAAAGTTGCTGTTTTATTGTATTAAGATTTTTAAGTTCATTCCAAGCTGTAGAGATGAGTAAATGTCTGTGCTATGGAGAAAAGTTGATTCTGAATGGTTCTTAGAGAAATAAGAATATGTTAATCATATAAGCATAATGTTTTAAAGACTCAATTAAAATTGTCTTTTATATTTTTGTAAATGTGTAATAAGTCAAGTCAGAGGATTCCCTTTCTCAGAATAATTGTCTGTCTTACTTGCTGTTTCTCAACAGGATTATATACTTTTTATTTTTAAGAGTAAATGAACCAGAGTATACTTGGCCTAAATGTATAAAGTACTTAAGAAGCTTAGCCTTCTGAAAGGTTTTATATCATTTTATTGAACTGTAATTCTCTTGAACAAAATTACTTGGGGAGGATAAGACTTTTATCAAAGTCAAAGCAGCATTTCTTTTTTCCCATTTCCTAAAGGCTGCTACTGAAGAAGTCAGGCTGCAGAACACCGCGGATTGAACTGGAGGAGATGGGGCCCTCGCTGGACCTGGTCCTGAGGAGGGCGCACCTGGCTTCCGACGACCTTTACAGGTTGTCTATGAAGACGCCAAAAGCCCTCAAGGTTCGTGGCCGGCAGATTGGTGCCACATTCATTTGTAGTTTCTAGTCTTCTTTCCAGAAAGGATTTGTGTCAGACTACACCAAGAACACTCATAAACAGAGAGCTTAGACTCGCAGAGCAAAGAAGGGGGAAGCAAATAAGCCAACCACACATGTCAATGAGTCGCAGAAACCAGGCCCCACGTGTGGCGGAGCGCCTCCTCGTGGCCGGGGCTGCCCGTTTTTAGCCAGAAGGGGGATCACTTTGGACATGGCGAAGGCTGGAGATTCAGATGCGAGGATGTGTAGCCCATACTTGTATAAAGTATATTTTGAATGTTTTTAAAAAAACAAGTAGAAATGGCATTTCTGGAATGCCAGTAAAAGTTGATGGTCACAGTTCCTTAGGCTAAACACAGGCAGTTCTGTCGGTGCGAGACCGTGCTCAGTACAGTCTACAGTGGTGCTTCTCCAAGAGGTCCGACACCTGGGAGTTGCTAGGCTGCTAAAACTCAGACCTGAATTAGAACCTGCATTTTAACAAGACCCCCAAGTGATTCATGTGTCCACTTACATTGAAGAAAGGTCTGTGGGGCTAAAGACTGTCCTTGAAAGGTCCTCATGAATGGAAATTGTCAGTAACATAGTTGTTGCGCACTAGGTTTTACCAGCTCATGGTAGTAGAGGCCATTAAATATGCATACTCTTGTTTCATAGCCAAAGAAGAAGAAAAACATCTCCCATGATACTTTTGGTACAACTTACGGGCGGATTCATATGCAGAAACAAGACCTGAGCAAACTACAAACCAGGAAAATGAAGGGGTTGAAGAAGCGACCTGCAGAAAGGAGAACAGAAGACCAGGAGAAAAAATCAAAGAGAATTAAAAGAAATTGATGGAGCTCAGCCAATAACTACTGTGTTGTTGTAGTCAATTACCTAAGAGAATTATAAACATCAGTCATTTCAGGGTTTCATACAAGGCCTTACTGTATGTCTTTAAACATAATTTACACAAACGTTATTGTGAACGATAATGCGCAGGATCAGTTGCGGGGAAGCTTCTTCAGCCTCGCACCCGGCCAGTGCCGTTCCCCCTCAGCGCTACAGCGTTCGCGGCCGGTCCCCTGAGAAGCCCCTTGTCTCCTGGGCGGTGACCGAGGAGGCTCTCCGCAACGGCCATTGGTATTGTAGAGCCTGGCTTTTGTTTTTCACTCTTCTGTTATTTTGCCTGAAATGCTGCTAGTTAAGAGGTTCATTTGAGGTCTTAAACTTTGTCATGAAACATCAATCTCCAGGAGGCGTTCCCTAGCTGATCCTTGACACACTGCCTTCCCGTTGATGATTCTAAGAGATTCTGCTGCTGAGTGGAGCCCCACCCCTTGTCTGAGAGGAGGGACGCTTGACAGGGTGGCAGTGAGGGAGGCGGGGTGGGGCTGAGGCCCAGGCCGTCGTGGGTCACACCAAGGCCCTGGGCGCGTGTGCGCTGGGAGGAGTAAGCCAGAGCCAAGCGACTTGTCTGAAGAGTTCTGGGAAACTGGCCCTGTGCCTAGGAAAGGGGAGGAAGCTTGCTCTTTCCTCCTGTGTGCGCTCATTTGTTTTCCCTAAATGTAGAATTCAGGTTGCTTGATTGAGTCCTCCGTGAGGAAGCGCCTTTGTACAAGTGCAGGCCAATCACGTTGTAAAAGCAGAAACGCACACAGACCATAGTCCATCCCAGTTGCATGTGAGGGGCCCTCGTGCCTGCGGGTCGGCCGGCACCGCCGCCTCCCCTCCTGCCCCCCCTCCCTCCCAACCCCACGCCTTAGCCTTCCCTCTCCGTGTCTCTCCAGAGGGCTGGTACTTCCTCTCTCCATACCAGTGGGTGAGCTGGCAGGACGCGTTCACACTCGGGACCCACAGTGCCAGAGCTGAAGCGGGCACTGAGTTGTGTGTCTAAATGAGAAGGCTGAAGTGATTCCTCCTGCCAGCTCCAAGTGGACAGACGGCCGAGGAGAGGGAGCCGTTAAAGGGGCGTGAGAACCGCTGGTGCATACCCTGATGTCCAGCCAAGGCCCGCGGGGACGGCGGCCTGGCAGGCAGAGTAGGGGGGCCTCCCACCAGCCGCAAGGGCCCTGCTGCCCCTCAGCCCTCCATCAGGAAGGCCATGTTTTCTGTATGCGAAACATTGTCTTGGGGTGTTTCTCAGTATTTTGATCTGTAACCCTCTTTTTTGAGATTTTGTAATGCACCCTTCTGTTACCTGTGTAGTTTTTAACTGAGAATAGAACGCCTAGTGCTTGAATGTATCATCACCACGAGAAGTATTACATATTGTTACTGAAATCTGATTGAAAGGCTTGCTGAAGTCTTATGAATCGTAGTTGGCAAACCATCTGGAACCTGTGGTCCACCATGTACAGATGGTTCTTGTGGGACGTGCATCTAACTTGGCCTTGAACCGCAGAACACAATATACATAAATGGGAGAATATGTATTCATCTCAGTAGAGGTGTGAATCACCTCTCGAGTGTTACTTTGGATTTTGGTAGATGAAGAAAGCAGGTTATTTTTTCATATATGTGTGTGTGTGTGTGTGTGTGTGTGTGTGTGTGTATGTACTTGAAATTTGGTTACTTTTTCTAACTTAAATGCTAATACTTGTTTTCTTAATATTGAACATAATCCAAAGTAGAGATGTTTACTCAAGGAAGGAAGAGGAGACAAAGGAACTTGACCCCAGTCCAGGTTTCACCTACCCGGGGGTCTGGCTGCTTCTCTCTCCTTCCTTTCCTTTAGATTTTTAGCTATTTCCCCCTCCCCCCAGAGTGAGCTCAGGAAAGGACTCAACAAAGACCTAAAATGAGAGAAGTTATAATTTCACCAGCAAGGGAAGGTTTGTTTCTTGATTGAATTCAGCTTATTGGCACTTCGTTGATGTCAAAACGAAGAGCCGACAAAAACACAGGGCCTTCGTTACATTTCTAAAGCACCTTTAATAGTTCTTAAAAGGGCTGAGCGTCCCATGACTGAGCGAATACGTGCTCGCGTGTACACATGAAAGTGCAGAGACTACCGCGCCCCTTGCAATGAACTGTAGTGAACAAGTTGGCCTGAGGTTCATTGTTGGTGAGAAGCAAGTCAACCTGATTTTAAGTGGGTGTTTGTCATACCAACAGTTTAAATAGTTCAAGTTTAAAAACAGCAAATGATTAAGATTACTTTCTTGTTAAGGTTACCAACATGCATTTTAAATGTGTTCTTGCTCTTCCTTTAGACAACTTACCACTCTCCCAACCCCCCCACCCCATCACACAGGGAAATAGGGTTCCAAACAGGCCCCGGGGGTGTGAGAGCCTCTGCTCCTTGTATGAAGGACGGCAGATAAAGGGGAAACGGCAGAGCTGGAACTCGCCGCTAAGGCTGCTGCCAAGCAAAGATCAAAGCACCTGAGCTTTAGGCACTTCCCCAGGATTGATGCTGCCCACTCAAGACGGGTCCTGAGGCTGCAGCCAGGAGCAGAGTGGCAGATGCTGGCTCCCTGAGGCCTGCCTGCCTGCTCGGCCGGGACCAGGGCTGCAGAGTGCTCCCTCTGGACGCCGGATCAAGGAAAGGGGCCTGCAGCCAGAAGCGGGGCTGAGCTGACGTTGAGGCTGCTCAGGGAGTCCCTCCCTCTCAAACACTGCAGGTGAGCTGGGAGGAGCTCCCCAAGGGCAAAGCACACCCTGGTTAATTTGCATTTAAAGTGGAAGATGCACACCAACCTGAGAGTTGTGTTTTCTCAATCCCTTAGTTCCCCAAAGCCTCCTGACAAAGCCGTGGCGAGGTGACCTGACTGACCTGCGACGCCCTGCAGCAGCCCCTCTGCAGAGCCCGGAGCCGCTAGGGTTTATGGCCCTTGGAGAAAGAGCAGGAGGCCTGGTATCCCGTAGGCCCCATTCCGTCCCCTGGCCCATCGCTTTGCAGCTGGACCAGATGTGCTTGAGTTGAGCTGCTTGCGTGTAGGCAAACCTTGATTAGTCTGAATCTTGAACAGCCAGTAAGCATATAAAGCCCAAATGGTAGGGGAACTCCTCAGAAGCAAAATCCTGGCTGTGGAATATGGGAGGGAGGGCCGGCCAGCCATGCAGTGTTGGGGGGAAACATGGCCACAAAGGATCTGACCCTCCGGATGCTGTGTGAGAGCTGAGCTGACAGGCCAGGCTGAGGACTGCCGGGGACTGGGAAACGCAGGCAGGGGTGGGCCTCAGCGGTAGAGCCGCCAGTTTCAAGTGATCTTGCAGAAATGCAAAGGAAATAAGGCTTAATTTAGTTTGTGGTCAGAGTAGTATGACAAGGGCCTTTGTAAAGGGGGCCTGAAAGGCTGGTGGTATATGACACTAGCAGAGGAATTTCTTAAGTTATGCCTGTGCTTAGAATGGGAGAGAAGCAGGGCCAGCGTGCTTGAGAAGTGGGTCTGCAGAGAGTCACCTAACCTCAGGGCGGGTCAAACA